CTAGTCAAGTAGAGGCATACTAGTGACACTCTGTTTGTCTATGTATTCACACAAGTATTATGTTTCCGGTTAATACAATTCTATCATGAATAATAAACATTTATCATGATATAAGGAAATAAATAATAACTTTATTATTGCCTCTAGGGCATATTTCCTTCAACTATCATATTACTTTGCTACTAAATACTTTGCTGCAGATATTAAGTTATCCAGGTGTGGTTGAATTGACAACTCAGCTGCTAATACATGAGAATATTCTTTGGCTCCCTTTGTGTCGAATCAATAAATTTGGGTTGAATACTCTACCCTCGAAAACTGTTGCGATCCCCTATACTTGTGGGTTATCAACCGTCGCCAGTCAAAATGATTTACACTTGTCTCTTCACCTTTACCGCCTTTAAATATTGTGGTTCATCATAGTTAATTGCTGCCTAATCCTGTAATTACTGAACATATTGTACTGTCAATTTTATTTATGGATTCGTTGTTGAACCATTGTGCTAAGAATTTCAATTGCACGTTTCATATTTCAAAATTTCCAATTCAAATAATAAATTACAGGAAAAAATAAAAATATACAGGAGCTAATAAAATAATGTGCACATGGTTAGAAAGAAAACAACGTGTGCGATGTAAAAAGAGAACAGACGGTCATGGAACTTTGCAAACGGTTCTGGCAGTAAAAGTGCTTGTGATGGATAGCCCAATGCCACACGGTTTTGTACATCAAATCGTGTGTGATGTAGTTCATAAAAGCAAATAGTTAACTAAGGCAGAGTGTTGTGTGATAGTTACACCTTTCACACACGAGCGTATACATAAAACTATGTGAGATGTACATACGAACGGAAACTTTTTCCCTTGATTGACTGTGTGGGATGTACATAAGAACGGAAACGTATTCCTTGGATTGATTGTGTGTGATATACATATGAACGGAAATGTTTTTCTAGGATTCACCGTGTGGGATGTACATACGAAAGGAAATGATTAGGTTTCGATGCCTGGCCCGATCGCACACGAGTCCCAGGAGGGCCTATCCCCGACGATTTCTAGGTCGTGTGGGAAGGACCCCCCTATCGCCCACACTCACTTGGCAATGGTTCCAAATGCCGTCACGGAAAGGGGTTAAAAACCGTTTGTATAGCACCGACACGTACCAGTGATCACCCTTTCCTCTTCAAGGGAAAAACCAACGCAAGCTCAAGAAGTAGCAGTCATGGATCCCCAGGCCCCCATATTGAGTCGGCATGCATATTGTTGCCCGATTTACTTTGCAACAGCCATCAGAGAGCTCCTCATCTTGCTCCTAGAGGAATCGTCGCCGGCATTTGTCGACGTTGGTGAAAAACTTCTTCGGGTGCATAGGACATTAAGGGCAAACGCGCATGGGCAACACAGTGAGGACGCATCGTACAAGAACTTTCCTACCGGCGATGGACATGAGACGTCCCTTCCACCCTGCTAGCCTAGATCAAATTTTATCGAGGATGAATTGAAGGTGGACTATCCGAACCCTAGCTAAAGTAAGAGGGATCCCGAGATATCTAAGAGGGAAAGCAACGGTTGTGGCCCCAAAAACCTGCAAGACTTCGGGCATGTCGACTTCATCATAGTGAATTGGAGCCACCGAGGATTTACTAGGATTAACCCTAAGCCAAGTGGCATTTCTGAAGTCATAAGGAATTTGCAAGAGCGTGTCTACTTCCTGACGTCCAGGGTTTGCAAAAATCATTGCATCATTTCGTACAAGCATGTCCTTAGCTTGTTTTCCATGCCTGGTAGTGGGGAAAGCATTCCCAGCTCTGCCGCATACTCCAGGAGGCGATGGAGGGGGTCGATGGCTATGATGAAGAACAAAGGGTATAGGGGATCCTCCACTCTAAGTCCACGTCGATGAGTGGTCTCAGGCCCGAGAAAGCCATTTAGGAGGAAAAACAACGAAGATGAGACGAGAAGCAACATGATCCAATATCTCCATCTAGGGCTAAAACCAAGCTTTGACAGTAGCTCTAAAAGGTACTCCTAGGAGATGTTGTCGAAGGCCTTAGCTATGTCTAACTTCAGAAGGAGTGTCAATGTTTTCTTCTGTAGTTTTGCACATATAAAAACTATCTTGGATGCATTTGGATTTTGGGAAAGTCGATTGAGCTGGGGAGTTGATCTGGTTTATGGCATAGGAAAGCCATATTGGTTGCACCTTAGTGATCAGTTTGGCTACAGAGTCCACTAGGACGATGGGGTGAAAGTCAACCATGGATGCCGCTCCATCCTTCTTTGGGAGCAGAGCAACGAGTGCCTTGTTCCGAGGTTCAAAATCTCCACTAGTAAGCCGATGAAATTGATCGAAAACATCCAGGATATCATGCTTTACCAATAGCCAACATACTCTAAATAAAATGCCACTAAAACCATCGGGCCGGGTGCCTTTTCAGTGGTGACATCTTGATTGCTTCCCAAATTTCTTCTTCGGTGAAGGGGTTGTCCAAACTCCATCCATGCACTGAAGGAAGCTGAAGTTCTTGCTAGTTTATCATACGCGTGCGATGAACCTTTGATCCTAGTAGGCTGTCAAAATGCTTATGGATGCATTTTCAGTGTGTGAAGTGGCCACTCCATCCTCTGTTGTAAGCGCCATGGTGAAATTCTTTCTCCATCGCAGAAACAGTGCGTCTAGCTACACAAGTACGGGCTCCGCCTTGACTTTGGGTGGGCCTGGGGTGTTGGAGTCCTACGTGCCTGGGGTTCGGACTCCTGCAAAGCCCCTGGCTTGCTTATGATTTGCGGTAAAACGGCGGTCCAGACTTCTTCATGGACTGATGGGAGACGGTGCTGGATCATCCGGGTAGCTGCGTCCGGACAGATACAGGCGGTTTTGGGATCGGTGTTGGAGGTGAATGCAGACTCCTATTAAAAAATGAGCAACTTTTCAATGATGAACATAGACGCATTACATCAGTTCTGTATTATCTTGTCATGCTAGAGCATGGTTGTATAATAATAGTTGACTGGATGGAATTTTCAGATTCAACAAAAAAGCAGCAGCTTTGAACTGATGTTTGTATAATAAAATAATAATTAATAGTTATTTATTGCCCTCTGGTTGATATCACTGTGTGCTCATATCAACATTAACCACAAATATGCTCTTCTGTTTTGCAGCAGCTGTCCATGTCAAGTGTCTTGATTGCCTTGCTATATGCTCTGTTGGTGGTGGTTTAGCTTCTTTGTGATGCAGGAAGCCTTGGCCTTGTACAATGCAAGGTGCTAAGAGAAATAAACCAGACTTTTCTTAAGCATTGGTGGTTATTTGTACATGATAGACGCTTAATTAGGCGTCTTTCCTTTAGAAATAGGCACCGATGCTTTAGAAAAATCTGGTTTATTTTTTAAAACATCCCCCTAAGCACCAACATTGTACAAGGCCTTACAATCTAGAGGTTACAGTTCAGAATTTTGATAGACGCGCTGATGGTTCAGGTTTGCAAATAGGTAAGAGTGGCCGAATGGTGATCTTGGAGAGACGGACAAGTTGGTCGGGAGAGGAAACAAGGAAAGAGTCAAATAAGATAATACTATTACCTCCGTCTCGGTGAATAAGTCATTTGCGTAGTTCTAGGTCATCGATTTGAGGAATTAAATATGTGTTATATGTCATGAAAAATATATCACTAGATTTCTACACGGATATAGTTTCTAAATATATATTTTTGTCACATATAATACATATTTAGATAGTTAAATTATCAACCTAGAACTACGCAACTTATACACCGAAACGGAGGTAATAGTGATTATTAGTTCATCTATGCGCCTATGGACATAAAATTATGAATTTTGAAGTTTTTGGGCCTGAAAGCTTGGATCAAATTAAGGTAATGTGTCATGTGGATGACTGCAAAGTCCTATAACCATGAACCTATACCTGGGCATATATCGGGCCGGGCTGAAAAAAGCCCGGTGCTGAAAACCTAGGCCCGAGCCCGGCCCAGCCTGACCGTCGGGCCTAATAAATCGGGCCCAAGCCCGGCCTGAGCCCGAAAAAGCCTGACAAGACCCGGTCAGTCCGGCCCGACTACAGCTGAAATCTGTTTTTTCGCAAGCCCAAGCCCAGCCTGATCTGCTCGTCGGGCTCAATTTTCAGGCCTGAGCCCAGCCCGATGGCATGCACAGGCCCAGCCCGGGATTTTCGGACCGGGTAGGGTAGGCCAATCCGGGCCAGGTATACATGGACCGAATCTGATATCCATAGCGCGTTGGTTTTGTAGCCTACGCCTAGCCCGTTCTGCAGTCTGAGCCTCCTTTGGTTTGTAGGAATTTCATAGGAATTCTAGAGGATAGGATTCTTATAAGATTTTTTTCCTTTAGAGCCCTTTGGTTCATAGGAATGGATTCCTATTCCTACATAGGATTGGTTCCTATCCTCCACATTTCATAGGAAAATAAAAATGAGCGTAGACTCGATGGAAAAATTCCTTTGGTGTGAACCAAATGACATCTCGTTTTCTATTCCTACTCATAGGATTTGAGTTACATGTCATCTCATTTCTTATAAATTTCTTATTTCTATGATGATCCTATCCTATGAACCAAAAGAGGCCTAGGAATCTATTTCTGAACTGGTTCGCCGTCGGCTCCAAGTTGAGTCATGTCAGCACAGAAGCAGGTTTATGATCTCTGGCATGGACAAGTGGTGCCTGTATAGTAGAGCGTGTCTGCCATGGACCTATCCGGAAAAGAAGGAATATACAGTGGTGGTTGTTTGTCAGTGGGTGATGTTCTATACGAACGTGCTTTTTTTTAATGAATTCATGTGAAATAAATCTTAAAAGTTGTGCTACTGGGCATGCCTTGAATCGAAAGTTCAAAACTACAGTAGTAGTATAAATCTTGTCTTCTCTTCTGCGTTGACAGTTTCAGGCTCTGCAGCCAACACAAATCATTTTCGAGTTTCAGTTTCTACGAGAGCCAGGATCCAGAGGAGGTTTGCCAGCCGATCAAGCGTACGAATAGGCCCTGCACTCCAGGGCCAAGTCCGGCCTCCACCACTGGTGGATCCCGTGCGCCGACTTGAAGTCCGGCGACGGGCCGCGGTTCACCGTCAGGACGGCCGAAGGGAACAGGTGCAGCGGCTCGCAGCCGCCCGGCTTGCCGATGCCCAGCAGCAGGTCCTTGACCGAGTGCCTCGTCGCCAGCCTCCCGACGGCGCCCGCGCCGATGTCCTCCATCTTCTTGCGGTGGTCGAAGTACCCCACGTACTCCGCGCTGATGGGGTCCGCCGGGTTCACCAGCACGTTCGGCACCCACCGCGCCAGGGCCGCGAAGGCTTTGTCGCTGCTGCCGCCGCCCTTGTGCAGGACGGTGGCCACGCCGGCCGTGACGAAGCTCTTGGCGATGCGGATGCCCTGCTTCACCTTCTTGTGCGGGATCCTCTCCACCGGCGCCGACAGGAACGGCGCGTTGAAGAGGAATGTGGTGAGGACGACGCCCGCCCGGGCCATGGTCTTTCCGGCGAGGGTTGAGATGGCGGACCCCAGCGAGTGGCCGGCCAGCCAGACGCGGCCGTGCCTCGCGACGTCGTGGATGGTCTGCATCGCGACGCGGAAGCGGGAGGTGTGCTCGATGCCGCTCCGGACGAGCAGGAGGTCGAGCTCGAGGTCCCTGGACGCGGAGGCCTTCTTGGTGACGGTCCCTCGGAAGGCGACGACGTAGTGCGGCGCGCTGGCGGCCGCCGCGGGGTCCATGAGGTGGTACGGCGGCTGGAACGCGTACACCGCGCCGAAGATGGAGGAGTCGGCGGCGTCCACGAGCGCCTGCCGCAGCTCGAAGTTGAAGAATTTCCACCACGCCGGCGCGCGGGCGTCGGGGCCCTGGCGGTTCCACTGCCGGTCGCGCTCCAGGACGTACACGCCTTGCACGAGGCTCGCCATGGCCGATCGCTGGTGGTGTGGGCAGTTCCTGACCGGAGCAAATCATCAAATGGCAAAGGTGATCAGATCAGCGGCATTTGCCAATGCAGGCTCCTCTGTTCTTCTGTTCCCGGAATCTTTTGCTCATAAACCATAGCAAAATCATGATGCCGTTATTATTCCTAGTTGATTTCAACGATGAAAATTGTCAACAACTTACCAATTCACGTATGTCAAATAGGTAGGTCCTGAAACCTCAAAGATGTCCTTCTGTGACGGCACTTTGCCCATCCTTGCCCCAATGGATCAGATTAGCCAGAAGGTTGCTCTGCACACGAAAATGAAATATGCATACTAAACGTGAGACAGCATCAATCTTACAAAGATATAACTGTCAGAGACTATTCAGGTTCCCAACCATGATACTCTTGGAATATAGACAGTGGACAAGTTCAGAGGAGAATATAAGCAAAGCATCCCAAGGTACATTTTCAGATTTATTCGGAACACAAAATGAAGCCACTCGATCCCATAAACCCACATTCCACAAGAACTCGTGATCAACACTGCACCCGTGATATGAGAGTGTGAATCATGAATCCAGAAAAGGGAGGCAGAAGATTACCAGATAAATTTCTTCTTCAATATCATATCATGCTCGGCGCGGCGGCATCCTCTCCCTCGTTGCCTTCTCTGGACTCTGAATGGGATTCATACTCTTGTTTGGGCAACAAACCAGAGCATCTAACTGATTGGCAAAAAAATTATTCGGGCTGACCAAGTGCTGGAGAAGTTAAGAAATGGTGCTTGAAGAGGCGAAAGAGAAGACTTTGAGGTTAGGAGCACGAAATCTTCCCTCTTGTACAGCTGGGCGCACCACAAGTGGCTTAAATAACAAGACGCGCACCCCTTCCCGGATGCAGATTTGTGCAATATTACTTGATATGCATCTTCTTTCCATGATACACCAGCCGGGTAATGCTTGGATGCCAATTTTGGAGTGCCTCTTTAAATGCAGATTTGCACATTTCCTTCCCTGTGTACTACAACTAATGATTGGATGCAAGTTTGGATTGCTTCTTTAAATGCTTAATAAAAGAGGGGATCCGGCTTGCCTGCTCCCTCCCCATGCTTCCATCCGTGCTCCCACTTCATCCTACGGTTGTCCTTTTCCTTTTTTCCTTTCTAATCTAATCATCTCCCCCCTGATTTTAAGGGGGTGGGGTCGGGCCTTATTTTGTTCCAATCAAATCATGCCACGTATGCGGGAGCACGGATGGGCACACACGCGGGGAGCAGGCAAGTCTCATCCTAAAAGAGGGAGATAGATATGGTGCCGAAAAAGTCGATAATTGCTGACTTGGAAAATTGACAAATCAGAAAAAGGGTATGCATTCTCTTTACATTGTACTGGATGATGTCTCTTACTCAGCTCATTTTAAGAGCAACTCTAGCAGAGTCACCATATTACCAGCCTACATAACGCACAGTCGTCATAATGTGGTCTTCATATTTTCCCTGCAAGTAGGACCCATCTATCATTGGGTCATATGTTCTTTCTAGCCTACTTGCAATAATTTAGATCAAATAATGAGCATCATTCAACATATTATTACAAACCATTAAGCAACAAATAATCCGATCAAATAAATTGTTCAAGTAGAAATAAATAAATTTTAAAGCAATTTAAACGCACTATCTACCAGCAGCTACCAATGATGCTCAACAGCTAATGATGGGGGCTCGGTCTTCAATCCTCCGGCATGCCTCAAGAAATGCTTGAATGCAGCTCGTGTGCCTGCGAGGCTTGATGATTGTGCCAATATCTTCATAGTCAATGGAGCCTAGCATATCCCTCTCATCCTTTATGATCATGTTGTGTAGGATCACATGAGATGTCATGATATTTGCCAAGGCATCCTCGTTCTAGAAACGAGTAGGCCCCATGACAATTGAAAACATTGATTGCAGCACTCCAAATGCCCTCACAATGTCTTCCATTGAGCTTCTTGCGCCTTGGCGAAATGCTTATGTCTCCTGCTCTACGATTATAAATTACCTCCACAAATGCTGACTCTGATGGACAGATGTCGTCAGTTAGATAGTAGACTTGGTCATACTAATGGCAATTCATTGTGAAGTTGTGGAGTGGAGAAGTATCAATAGCTAGCCCTTGCAACCAGATGAGATCTGTAAGACATTGATGTCACTGTGAAATCCAGGCAACCCAATGTAGCATCGCCAGATCCACATAACTTCACAGGCAACACTTTCCAAAAATTATGGTTTGAACCTTGCAGTGCCCGATGGATTGGCCGTGCCAAGCTGCAAGGCAATTCTTTCACTTACAGTGCATGCATTCAACAGTCCCTAGCATCCTAGGTCAGCCTTTTCTTCATGCATAACTAGAATCTGAGTCGTGTCCTCGGCATTGGGTGCTCGTAGATATTTGTGATACATAAACCCGGACCACAGTTTCAGCAACACTTTCATGCACTTGATGATTATATTGTATCTTGGGCCACTCGAAGAGTGAATCACATGAATCTGTAGGAGAGCCATATGAAAACCCCAGAAGTCTCACGATCACTTTTTGAAAAGGGGAAAACCCAGGAGATCGACAACATCTGCTCGTTGTTGGAAGGCGTGCATGCCATCAGCAATTCGACGGAACAACCATTCGGTCATGTGGAAGCGTCACCGGAACACATGTGGTGGGAAGGTGGAAACCGACTCAAAGTAGTCGAGCATGAGTGGATCATGGCCAACAAATCTGTTCGGGCAAAATGTCGCATAATCAACATGTGATCCCGGGTGATTCCTCTTTGTTTCAGTTGATGTTATCCACTCGGCAACCAACAAATACCACATGGTCTTCTTCAACGTCCATGATTTCACTCTCGGACTCATAGCTTGAATTTAACGACGAATCATCGAGAAAACATTAGCTCCACCACCGGATCCATCTACACATAACGTGAATCCTATGTCATTTGCACGAATCTATGAATCTTGCTAAACTAAATTTATGAGGAAAGGGTGGGGAAATTTACCTCCGGGCAAGTCGTCGAGCACCTTGAGGTCACATGGCCGAAGGGGTGGCATGGTCGGGCGGCGGGAAGAAGGCGCGGGGTTGCGGCGAAACATGGGAGGTATGAGAATGGTTCAATGGAGGCGGCACGGGCCAAATCATGGCGGTCCAGTCTTTCGAGGTGGCATAAAGCGAAGGCAACACTGGGATGTGGTGGCAGCGCAAGGGAGCACGCATCTTGAAATTTTCGTGGCGCTAATATTTGGTTGGATGGAGGGCACACTGTATCGCCTCGCTCAACCTTAAATATGGAGGCTCGTGTGATGGATTTGGCGCGCCCTCCAAATATTATGACGGTCGAGGGTGGCATGGTGACTCTACCAGAGTGGCCTTTTTGGCCAAAATTGCCATAATGACCACTATTACACCAACTGAGTCGATATGGTAACTCTGCTAGATTGCTCGTACTAACTTTTAATCACATTGGTTTGTTATGTCTTATGTGTATACACTAACTGAAAGCATCTCCCAAAATACTTCCGCCCACCTCACTCGGGTGGCTCAGGTGAAACCCTAGCCATGTCATCCCCATCTCCTCCCTCATCTCTCTCCTTGTTTCCACTCGGCGAGGTTGACGGGCAAAGCCTGTGCAACGAGCGGTGGTGGTCGGCTTGTCTCCTAACTCGGAGGGGGGTGTCCTCGAGCGCGCCATGTCAGCTCTGTTAAGCGGTAACATGATGTATAGAGTCTGACACCTATCCGGTTCTGGAAGGTTGAAAGGAGAATTGTGACAAGCTTTGAATGGAAGCCCCGGTAAAGGGCGGCAGTAACTCTAACTGTCCTAATGTAGTGAAATCCTTTGTCACATAAGTAGTGACATGCACGAATGGTGTAACGATTGCCCCGCTGTCTCCGACATGGCCCTGGTGAAATTGAATTCTCCGTGAAGACACGAAGACCAACGGCTAGACGGTAAGACCCTGTACACCTTGATTATAGCTTCGACTCTAGCGAAAAAAGAGTATTGCGAGGCTCAGACTCCATGGTAGCGACTCCAGGCAGCTTTAGCGATGGACGCACTGTTGTGGCTGCAATGGAAGCACGGTGGCCGGTGGCAGCCAACTCGTGCATCCTTGCCTAAATATGGCCGCTAGAGGAGAACGTCCCTAGCCAAGGTGACGACTGACGACCCCCCATTGCAGATTGCAGTGGCGAGGATGAGTGCCGCCCTGCATATGGATCGATCTGGCTTGGAAACAGGGGCGTAGCTATGTACAGCTAGCCGGTGTCACTGGCACCGGGTACAATATGCACTTGCTTAATATAATCCATTGATTTAGTGTGTAGGTCATTAATTGTTTGACATGTAGGCATGTGTTCTTCCATGTGGACACTGGGTAATTTTTAGTCTGGATCCACCCCTGTTGGAAAGGGGGCATGCACTAGATTGTGAGCTCGATGGTTCTGCAATGGTTGTTGTGTGTCGTGTGCCCACCACGTAGGCAGATGGATTTCATGTGCATGGATGACTCGAGCTTCAATGTGAGCAGCCAGACCCACGACACAAGTTTGGCGGCTCCTTGACAGTCATGGCTGTGATAGGTAGGAAGACGTCCCACCCATCTGCTAGTGCCACTACCTTCTCTCGTCGTCACCGGTGGTGGTGGGACGCTCCTTCTCGAGGCGGTCGGCTAAGTGGCTCTGCGGGACATGTGCTTCTTTGGTGCATGGTTGTGATGCATGTTATGAGAGGCATGTGGCCTCTTTCAATGGACAATACGGTGGTTCTACATGGAGTACTGACTTGTGCAGCTTTCGGAAGGTCCGACTTCGGGGTGGTGTTTGGAACACCGCTTTTCATACGTATGGTGAAATCTCTTGTTATGTCCTTCATTGGTTGGACTAAGCAATGATGAACTCGCATCGTTACATCGTTGAACACACACGTAGTCTCCATGTTGCTCGAGGTCCAAATCCTTGATTGTTTGGTCTTGGCATTCATGATACAAATCATTGTCCTGGCTATCTTCGACCAGACGTGACAACAACAGTGTGTGGGTGTTATCTCTTCTTGAAGGTGTTCCTACGGAAGAAGTCGACTTAGTTGTAGGTGTTTTCTTCATATCTTATAATGGTTCTGTCATAGTTGTCTATGTCATGTACTCTGATTGTTGATGACTTTGACATTGTTACCTTGCATTAACTTCAATAAAATATGGATATGTGCATCTGATGATGTAGAGATCGGGAGGTTTATCCTTCCTTTTAGTAGAAAAAAAGATACACTAATTACTAGGGATAGCACTAAGAAATAACTCATTGTATAGTATGTTTTTATTGTCATCTCCGGATAAGAAGTTTGGCGTCTCCTTTATGTAAGTTTTGGAGTATTGAGTATGACACTTGCAATGTTTATGTTGCGGCCGGTCAAATGAAGAAGGAAAAGAAATTAAGTTTGTTGTTTTCAACAGGAATTGTTTTTAAAAAGAAACTAGAGTGAGTTAAGATATTCATCCGCAACTCCTTTGGCCGTCTCTTGCACGTCGTTTGGGCATTTGTGATATGTAGGCCGTGGGTGATGGAGAACACGTCTTGGCTCTCCCCATTTCCCCTCTCATCCTTGTCAATTTGTCATCTCTGTCCCTATTACTGTTTCCCTTTCCTTTCTTCTCCTTATTGAAACATATTCCTTACTGTAAAATCATGAGGATTTACAACTTTGAATGCTTTAAAGTTCAGTGGTACGTTATACAGTATGAACTATTAAGCTCCTAATTCCTTCCAAGGGGTTGGCCACATAAAAAAATCACGAATATGCAAAGCTTGCATATCTTTTATTGATAGAAAAGGTTGAAATAAGAACACAGGTACAACACATGACACAACCAAAGATGACGAAAACATGGTGCTCGAAGAAGAGAGACGTGGGATGCTTGACCCAAAACACAAGCTACAACACGGCGCCAAACTACCCGACCAAGAGAAACAACCCAAACCGAAATGATGCCCGAGTCTCGAAAACCATCACTGGGTACGCCATGAGCAACCAAGATGACGTCTTCATGAAGAGAAACGACACCATGACATCACCGTCGTTCGATCTGAGGAGTCAGACCTGGGGTTTCCCCCGTTGTTCGAAGAGGGGCATGAAGAAAGGGTGTGGCAATGCCTCCCAAAAGGACACGGCACCCTCAGGTGTCGCCACTGTCGCCACGGCCTATCTCTACTCTTTCTTATAAAAAAACCGAGTTAGTGATGATGGTGTGCCTGCCATCTTACAATATAGACCGTTCGATCTATATCTGACGGATAGAAAGCAAACTATGACAATTTTGCAAAAAGATACCCGCACCTCTCTCCATATTTGCAGATAAGCCCTTCCCTCGTTCATCCTTATCTCCCACAACCTCATTGTTGAGCAATTAAAAAAAGAAAACCTCTGAAACAATCTGGCATGATAGCCGCACGGGTTTTTGCACTCCTCCTCACCTTATCTCTTCTCTTTCTTGAGATATCATTAGTTTTTACACATGAGATTACTTCCGCATGGGTCAATCATAACATGTGTTTTATAAAAGAAATGCATCTTGACGTTCCGTGCAATGCATGGGCATCTTGCTAGTTTCCAAACAATTCTAAAACGACAGGATCCGAAGACGAGGAACATGTCAGCGAGATGGAACCGCAACATCCAGACGGGGAGGTACGCCCGCAGCCGAGGGGTTGGCAACGGACACCGCCGGGCGTGTGAGACAAAGGAGGGGCGAGGCAAGCAGGACTGGAGGCAATGGTTGACGGTCAGGGTTGAGGAGGCGACGACCGGGCATAGAGGGCCCATACACGGGATGCGACGACAGCCGGCAACATCGAAGAGCCAAGATCCGGAGATACACAGTTCTGGACCGACGAGACCGAAGCCGTCAAGACGCCGGCGAGTTAAGAAAGCCGGAAAAGGGTGCAACTTTCATAGCACCCGGGCTGGAGCCGCAACCAGAAGGACGCTGGCAGGCCATGGACAATGGAGTACGCAGGTCTAGACCCTCCAGGACGGACGAGGATCCCCTGCCGTGGCCAAGCCTACCTTTGAGTCACTGACACACGGGTCCCACAAAGCATGGGGCCCACCTGTCAGTGACTCAAAGGCAGGGTATGGCAGGGGTTGCAAAGTCAGAGGATCCACGTCCAGGACTGGAGCAGCACCGAGGACCCCCAAATCCGCGCGCCCAGAGCAGGGCCCACCTGCAGCACAAACAGGCGGAGCAGGGCCCACCTGCAGCACAAACAGGCGGAGCAGGGCCCACCTGCAGCACAAACAGGCAGAGCTGGCCAATGACATGCTAAACCCTTGTTTTCTTTGAGTAGTTCTTGACAGAAAAGTGCGATAGGTGTTAATTTGTAAAAAATATCGCATAGTCTGAATCCAACTGAAGTGTCTATGAGCACTTAAGTTGACAGAAACCATGGTTTCAGATTTCAGAGCACATAAGCGATCTGAACATAAGAAGACAAACATCTTAATTTCATATTTGAATAAACATTGCTTTTTCTACACTGTTACAATAATCACACAAAATTCGCTGTAGGCCTAGAAACTCCTTGAGCCTATCAAATCATAAAGGTATTTTTTTTTCTTTGTCCTTGATGGCTGAACATTATCTCTACTATATCACGAAGAGGCCACTGCAGCTGTTGCTGGAAGAGGAACATCCACTAACCTCTCAAGCATATCCAGTTGATCATAAGGTGCTATCTGCAAAGCATCAGATGCATATGCATTTTAGGTCTTACGTGTATACCATTTTTCAGAAATATGTTAGTGTCATCTAGATGTATCCCATAACTTTGCTGTACTCTTAAATTATCATAAACATTGACAGGAGATGAATCTAATTTCGTGTGTCATATACCTGACTAAATCCATCAGGCCAAGTTATAGAAACAGCATAGTTGCCCATCGGCCGTATCTCTTCAGGCTCGATGTCTTCAGGTACATCGCCGTACTGTACTTTCTGCTCTCCGGTCCATTCGTCCTGCAGAGAAGAACTACTTAGTATCTAAACTAATAAGCCATGAAATAGAGAGCTATGGAGACAGCCGGCGTGAAGGCTTCTGTACAGACCGTCTCTACATGGCAGACCTCCAGATCTACAATCTTGGGCGCTGTAGAGTAGCTGTACAGTTTTTCGGTTTTTGTTCCTCGTTTGGTTTTGTAGGGTTGTAGTTTTTGTTTAGTTCTCTTTTTATTTAGTTCCCTTTATTTGCTGGTTTGGCTCTAAGACTTGCGCCATCTCAGTGCCTTTTTCTAATACAAATTGTTACACATTTAGGAGTACATGAAAAGAAAACCATAAAATAGTTTTCTGAAATGAGAAGAGAAAAATGACGTGCATGACTTAGTTTCCCAAAAAGAGAACTGTATTAAGCTTTTGGTCTCTGTGAATGATGAACTGTAAATATATATCCAACGCATCATAAGGAAAGGGCATACACACCACACTTTGAGCAGATCGGTCATTCCGTCTGACTGTTGCTGGGTGCAAGAAGAACTCCTCATCTGAATCTGGTACTTTCACTCTGATTGCTCTAATTGATCTATCGTAGGACACTGCTGTTGAAACTGAAAATAAACAACAACAATTTTAACACAACATTAGCAAGAAGTATGTTTTATAGTGCAACACATGCAAACACAAGGTTGCACCAATACTTCTATATGCTTTCTTTTTCATGTCAAGTTAGTGCACATATGTTATATTCTGTTACTTCCGATTACCTTTAATAATTTAGATTATAGTTTGGAGCTTTTAATTTACCTTGTTGTCTGATTTTAGCACATTGTTGAACAACACATACTCCAAGATTCTGAAATATCTTGGAAACATCCCCTTGGGGATCAGCCACTACTTCCGGAATGCCAGTATCTCCAGAAGATGAAAGCTGTAAAATTACCAAACTATAATTTCCACTCATGTTTAGCCAAGTGCAAGCAGGATCTTTTTCTTTTTCGTTTTGGACTTACAGTTGGCCGTATAGGCAAATCAAAGAGGTTAGGTATTCCAAACTGCTGCACAACCTGAAAGAGTAATTGCATTGTCGAACAAACTCAATAGCTATCCAAGAGAAATGTGCTACAAATTATTAATTAATATGTATTTGTCTTGCCTGAGCCCCAGAACCTTTTCCAAATGGGTAATAGCGCTTTTCGTCAGCATCAAAGTAGCACATGTTCTCAACAACTGCAACACATGGAACCTTGGCAACAGAAGAGGTACAGAGACAAGTCAATGGAAGAATACTTATCAAATTAGACTATTCATGCATCATGTTGTGCAAGATTACACACCTTAAGCTTAGAGAACATCCGAACACCCTTAGCAACATCAATAAAAGCCAGCTTCTGAGGGGTAGTAACAATCACAGCTGCAGTCAACGGAGCTACCTGGTGTTTCGGGCGTGTTATACTTCGAGATGCTTTCAGTATGATCCTAATTCACTAGGATATATAATATGCATAGCGAAGTTGCTAGAGAAGCACCTGACAGAGTGTTAAGTGTATATCGCCTGTTCCGGGAGGCATATCAATGACAAGATAGTCAAGTTCGCCCCTTCATGCAATAAACAACAGTTTCAAGTTCTTTTTATTTAAAGGTAATTAAAAAAGCTGTTTGGTATATACGTAGTAGCTGGAAGTAATGGCTATTAAATATGTCATGTGTTTCCTCAAAAAAAATATTAATATGTCATGTGCATCTGATGCTTTAGACAGGAACTGTTGTCTTTGCATACCAGTCAGTCGTGGTCAGCAACTGATTAATGACTCCTGAAACCATTGGACCACGCATGATCGCTCTTCCTTGTCCAGCAAAGCCAAAAGACACCAATTTGACTCCCAAGTATTCAGTCGGAAGAATACTTTTGCTTTCTGGGTTCTAAAGGTAAGTCTGTTTACCATTATTAGTGCAAACACTAAATTCCATGTTAACATAAAGATCCAACCATCAGGCTTACCACCACTAGCAGCCGGTTCACTGGAGAAACCATATTTGGTAAGCTTGGACCAAAGACATCGGCATCGAAAATCCCAACCCTGGCCCCCATACCAGCTAAGGTATAAGCGAGATTTACTGCGACGGTAGATTTTCCAACTCCTCCCTGGAGACGTGAAAATGGTCACTAAAAGGAGTTTTTTAAGGTATCGTTCGATGTGTGCAGGAGTACCAAGTCTTGCCTTGCAACTTGAGACTGCTATGATGTTTGAAATTTTCTTCAGTCCTTCTGGGAGGTCCCCTGCATAAACTGGCTGTGCAGGTTGTGCAGACATTGTAACATTGACCTTCTTGACCCATGGAAGTGCTGCAACGACCTCATTTGCCTTTTCTTCAAACTGTACAGCACAAGTTCAGAGTTTTAGGCAAAGCCATTCCTTGGAAGGGATAATACAGATGCAATGTTATCAGACAAAAATCATATGAACGTCATTGCACAGCACTTTTAAATAGCAGATATACGGTTCAAGTGCAGATCTACCAATGCATAGCAATTGAAGCATAGCTGACATAAGTGGTCGTTAAGATGTTGGCGCTGACTTATGCCATGAAATGGTCAGACAGCGAATAATCAGATAACTGAACACGAGAACTGCCTCACCATGTCCTTGACTGGGCATGCAGGGGTTGTCAGCTCCACACGAAACGAGACCTGAAGACAGTGAAACTAATTGGTAAATCCCAGGCAATGCCGGCTAATCTCTGTCGCATCTCATTCGATCAAGAAGTGCCCTTTTACCTCCTCTAAGGTCTCGCTGATCTCCAAATCCTTGATGAACCCACACGAGACGATGTCCGTGCCGAAATCAGGATCGATAATCTGGGAGAGCGCGATGAGCACGTCCCTCTTGGCATCTTCCAGTGAAGCGACCACCGCACCTGCTGGGGGATTATACAGACACCAGAGCATACACACACAAGTTACACACACATATATATCTTCAGTTAGCAGGGCAGTAAGCCCAGCAACAGGCACAGGCCAGTGCATAAATTCAGAGTCGCCAGGAATTCTGCGACTGCTGCTGCTAATTCTACTATGGCTGCGATGGCGAAACATGCAAAAGCTCGGGAGGATTTGAAGTTACCGCCGGACGACGCGGCTCTCGCGCAAGGCCGGCGCCGGCCCACGCGCGGCGACAAGGGGGGGCGGGCATGCGACTGGATAGTGGCCGCCGCGGCAGGAGGAGCCTTCGCTGGCAGGGCACCTGCTGCATGTGGATGTATGCTTCATGAGAGCTGAGACATCATCCATCGATCCATTCACGGGGGACAAGGGCGGCCTCACCTCTTGGGGTTGGAGTCGGGGAGACGAGATGAGGAGCGGGCGGCACGACGAAGGAGGCCGGCGCGGTGTGGAGGGTCCGCATTGCCGCCATCTCCGCCGGCGAGGAAGTGTCGATGGGATGGATGATGAGGGCGGAACGGGGGAGGGAGTGGCCGTCTTTGGGCCGCTGGTTGTGTGGATTTGGTTTGCCTCGTGGCTTAAAGATCAGTAGCAGCGCAAGCAAGAGCTGCCCTCGTAGTGACACGGCCACTGATGAGTGGCTCCCACATGATACTCTCCCCGTCTACTGTTTGGGAGCACACGATGGTATTTTAGAGTGTCACGTGAGATAAATATTAGGGAAACACTAAAAATCTGACGTCTGATTTTTAGAGATTCAAGATGAATGATGTCCTATCTGTCGGATTGATCTGCATGAATCGCCGCGCAGATCCATCACCCACGTCAGATTCTGAACATGTTCGGTCCGTATCGGATCGTGATAAACATACAGCCCAGCCACTCCCCTTTCTTTTCACCATTGCACTCAGTCGCCATTTCATTTCACAAATTGTGCAGTCGTTGTTCATTGTTGTTCTCCTCTCCTCGATGAGGCGCAAAGTTCGTTAGAGGAAAAGCGGTTGCCGAAGGAGGAGGGGGAGCAGCCGCCACCGGCCGCATTTGTGAGCGACGGTGTCTTCCCACTGCCTCTACTTCTCGCGACAACCTAGCATTATACCTTGAGAGAGAGAAAAAGAGAAAAAAGAAAGACATCAAAACAAGATGTATCAGAAAGGCATAAAATGAGAGAGAAGAAGCAACATCATTATTCATTTTAGAGTACACATGTAGAGTGCTTTAAAGTAGTATCACTTCATTGCATTTCATTGTCGAGAGTTCATGAGTCTTATTTACATACTAGTGGGGAACTTCATGTTATAGAACTTGACTTGTACATTTCAATGATGAGCCTCCTCAAATAAGCTCTAGGTCTTGATGAGTAAGTAAGTTGGATGCACATCCATTAAACCACAAGAGAGCTTTCATTCATACACTAGATGACCCATTGCGCCATTGCCGCAATGACCAACTGCAACCAGGAAGTTAAGCAAACTATGGGCAATACGTTCAATAAATGTTCATTTTATGAATTATCCTCACATATGAGAACACAAAGAAGAAATGGACAAGATAAATAGTGATAACCACCTCTGGATAATAGGAAGTGCCTGTTCATACTAGCCGCACTTAGACACGACCTTGGTATCGAAGAGGTCAGACATGAACACAGTTTTGGATGAGAGAAATCACTCTTGTGGGGTAGTTTGTTAAGGACCACTAGATGAACGCATGTTGAGCAAGCAACACCAAACTAGACGAACCAAGATCCATCACAACCACCTAACCAGCAACCTAAATGATCCATTTGCACCTAGCAAATGTGAACAATTTTAAGCATGTTTCTCGTTAATTGTGTGCAATTGATTATATTTGTATTTTCCTTGTATTTAGTAATGACAAACAGCAACGATCGTTGCTCATTTGCTTCTTGACCGGCCAAGGCACCCCAACAGTTGGGTCAGTAGAAAACCCGACCACACCCCCCATGACAAATGACTTGCATCGGGCACGGCAATGAGTATGGTCATACTGTGTTATTTCACTTCCATATTTTGCTGAGGTAACACGTTCAAGAGACTCATACGACCGCATGTTCTCATACCATGCATACCCAGCAAGGTTCCACATAGTTTTGCGAACCTTCCATTTTTTATTCCCTATTCTTACTTCCTACTATCTATTTTCTTCTTTTCCTTTTTATTTTTTTCCAATTTGCAATTTTATAATTTCATGAACATTTCTTGAATTCACAAATATAGTGGAATATCATGAACTTTTTAAATTTTAAATTTTATTTGAATTTATGAACATTATTTGATTTTACAAAACAAAATCAATGATTTTTTTGAATCACGCGATTTTTTTTTAAAAACATCCTGAGCATTTTTGGATTCATGATTTTGTTTAAAAACTATTGTGAACATTTTTGTGTGCATATTTATCAAATTTGTGAACATTTTTTTATTTCTTAAATTCATGAACATATTTGGACTCTGTGAACCTTTTGAAATACTTGAACGTTTTTTTTCGAATGCGTGAATGTCTTTTAAAATCACAAACATTATACAAATTCAAGAAGAATTTTGAATTTTGTGAACTTTCTTTTGAAAGCTTGAACATTTGTCCAAATTCATGAACATGTTTTAATTAGTGATTTATTTTTTTTAAAATCGATCATATTTTGAATTCATGTGAACATTTTTAAAAATTGCAACCATGTTTTGAATTAATATAATGTGAACATTTGTCCTTTTTAAAATTCATGAACATTATTTTAAATTTGTGAACGTATTTTGAATTGGCATTTTTTTCAAATTCATAAATCTCTTTCGGTTTTGCTAACTTTTAAAAATTCATAATCTTTTTATTAAAATAAAAACTGCTGAAATGAAAAAATGAAAAGAAAACATTCGCTCGCTTGCTTGCTGGGAGACTCACATGTAGCGATCAACTTTTTTCCCTTGGCGTTCGTAAGCAGATGGACCCGCCCACTTGAAGTTCACGTGGGCGAGCATTCGCCCATCCTGTTGCAACAACGCCCGGCACGTCCCCGACGCGGATGAGGATGGATATTCCTGTTTCGGCTTTCTAGTCTTGTTACCAACATTTGAGCCTTGTTCATCCTACGGAACAGGCACCCGGCGCTACGCCTCACTTTGCACACGCAAGCATTTGCCCAAGGATTTGCCTTGCGCACGATGCGGCAATAGGAGGCGTTTGGTGGGCGGCATCAAGCCCAACTAGTCTCTCGCAAGCTAAGTCGGAGATGTTTGGCTGCCTAGCTTGCACGAAAAAATTGACCTGCCCTAAACTTAGAGCACCTTGTTGGGAACGCAGTAATTTAAAAAAAAATCATACGCACACGCAAGCTCATGGTGATGCATAGCAACAAGAGAGGAGAGTATCGTCTACGTACCCTCATAGACCGTAAGCGGAAGCGTTATGACAACACGGTTGATGTAGTCGTACGTCTCCACGATCAACCGATCTAGCACCGAAGGTACGGCACCTCTGCGATCTGCACACGTTTAGCTCGGTGACGTCTCGCGAACTCACGATCCAGTAGAGCTTCGAGGAAGAGTTTCGTCAGCACGACGACATGATCACGGTGATGATGTTGCTATCGGAACAGGGCTTCGCTTAAGCTCCGCTACAATATTACCGAGATGGATTATGATGGAGGAGAGGCACCGCACACGACTAAAGATCAATGATCAACCGGTGTGTCTATGGGATGCCCCCCTCCCCCGTATATAAAGGAGTGGAGGAGGGGGAGGGGGTCGGCCTCTCTAGGCACACCCAAGGAAGTCCTACTCCCACCGGGAGTAGGATTCCCCCCTTCCCTTGTTTTGTTTTAGGAGAGAAGGAGGAGGAAGAAGGAAGGAAAGGGGGGTCGGCCCCCTTCCCAATTCGGATTGGGCTTGGGGGGCACCCCCCCTCCTTTGCTTCTTCTCCCTCTCTTCCACTAAGGCCCAATAAGGCCCATACACCTCCCGGGGGTTCTGGTAACCTCCCGGTGCTCCGGCATACTCCCGATTTCATCTGAAACCATTCCGATGTCCAAATATAGGCTTCCAATATATCGATTTTTACGTCTCGACCATTCCGAGACTACTCGTCATGTCCGTGATCAAATCCGGGACTCCGAACTATCTTCGGTACATCAAAACACATAAACTCGTAATACCGATCGTCGCCGAACGTTAAGCGTGCGGACCATACGGGTTCGAGAACTGTGTAAACATGACCGAGACATGTCTCCAGTCAATAACCAATAGCGGAACCTGGATGCTCATATTGGCTCCTACATATTCTACGAAGATCTTTATCGGTCAAACCGCATAACGGTATACGTTGTTCTCTTTGTCATCGGTATGTTACTTGCCCGAAATTCGATCGTCGGTATCTCAATACCTAGTTCAATCTCGTTACTGGCAAGTCTCTTAACTCGTTCCGTAATGCTACATCCCGTAACTAACTCATTAGCTACATTTCTTGCAAGGCTTATTGTGATGTACATTACCGAGAGGGCACAGAGATACCTCTCCGACAATCGGAGTGACAAATCCTAATCTTGATCCATGCCAACTCAACAAACACCATCGGAGACACCTATAGAGCACCTTTATAATCACCCAGTTAATTTGTGATGTTTGGTAGCACACAAAGTGTTCCTCCGGTATTCGGGAGTTGCATGATCTCATAGTCATAGGAACATGTATAGTTATGGAGAAAGCAATAGCAATAAACTAAACGATCATCGTGCTAAGCTAACGGATGGGTCAAGTCAATCACATCATTCTCTAATGATGTGATCCCGTTAATCAAATGACAACTCATGTCTATGGTTAGGAAACATAACCATCATTGATTCAACGAGCTAGTCAAGTAGAGGCAAACTAGTGACACTCTATTTGTTTATGTAATCACATATGTACTAAGTTTCCGGTTAATACAATTCTAGCATGAATAATAAACATTTATCATGATATAAGGAAATATAAATAACAACTTTATTATTGCCTCTAGGGCATATTTCCTTCAGTCTCCCACTTGCACTAAAGTCAATAATCTAGATTACATTGTAATGATTCTAACACCCATGGAGTCTTGGTGCTGATCATGCTTTGCTCGTGAGAGAGGCTTAGTCAACGGGTCTGCAACATTCAGATCCTTATGTATCTTGCAAATCTCTATGTCTCCCTCCTTGACTTGATCGCGGATGGAATTGAAGCGTCTCTTGATGTGCTTGGTTCTCTTGTGAAATCCGGATTCCTTTGCCAAGGCAATTACACCAGTATTGTCACAAAAGATTTTCATTGAACCCGATGCACTAGGTATGACACCTAGATCGGATATGAACTCCTTCATCCAAACTCCTTCATTTGCTGCTTCCGAAGCAACTATGTATTCCGCTTCACACGTAGATCCCGCCACGACGCTCTGCTTGGAACTGCACCAACTAACAGCTCCACCATTTAATAAAAACAC